TATATATATATATAGTATGTATATATATAGTGTGTATGTATGTATATATACACATGTATGTATATATATAGTGGAATATTACTCAGCCATAAAAAAGAATGAAATCTTGCCATTTGCAACAACATGGATGGATTTAGAAGGTATAATGCTAAATGAAATAAGTCCATCGGAGAAAGAAAAATACCATGTGATTTCACTCATAAATGGAATTTAAGAAAGAAAATAAACAAGCACACACAAAAAAGAGAAAAACAAAAGAACAGACCCTTACCTATAGAGAACAAACTAGTAGTTTCCAGAGGGGAGGTGAGTGGGGGAAGGGGTGAAATAGGTGAAGGGGATTAAGATCACACTTATTACCATGATGAGCACTTAGTAATGCATAGAATTGTTGAATCATGACATTGTACATCTGAAACTAATATAATGCTGTGTGTTAATTATACCGGAATTTAAAAAAAAGTGAATACCCTAATGGAAGGACTATTTTCTTTTTCCATTTCCTGCTTCATTCATCTTAGCCTAGGGAGCTTCCCTGGAAACTGGATGAAAGAGGAGGGTGGGCCTGGGTTCATGGTGAAAGATGAGAAGAAAAATAAGGCCAAAGGCCTGGGTACTTTTTGGGTGTCAAGTCCCGTGAACTCTTACAGGAGTTCTCTCATGACCCCCTCAGTTGCATGCACACACACACACACACACACACGCATGCACACACATGTGCGTGCGCGCGTGCGCGCGTGCGCGCGCGTGCACACACACACACACACACACACACTGCTCTAGGGGGCAGCACTAATATAAAGAGAAATGAGTTGACTTACTTCAAGTCACACAACTAGGAATGGTGTGGGGCTGGGTTTGAACTCAGGTCATTAGCTCCAGAGTCCAGGCTCTTAACACTTTTGCTCCTCCATGATCCAGAGAGAGCAGGAAGCACAGTGATGTTGACTGTCCTGGGCCTCAGCTATGTGCCTCCGATTCTGATTTCCAAAGTGGGGGCTACCTTGGGAGTGAACTTGCCCCAGCTCTGATGCTTTCCCAGGACTTTCTGCCTCTGCCTCTGCCTCTGCCTCACCCTGGCTGGGACAAAAGCAATTTCTACACATTTTGTAAGATACCAAAGATGTCTGGTCATGCCTGATGTCCCCTTTTGCTTCTGGATAAGATCAAAGGCCTTTTGTCCTGACCAGGGGATCAGACCTAGATGGGGGTCCCTGAAACTGAGAAGGGAATTGTGCTCAACATGGACACCAAGAGAAAGCATCTAATAACAGCTCAAATTGGAAAGGGAAGTCAAAGGGAGCCCTCAGAAGGCAAGGGGGAAAACCAGAAGGTGGACCTTAGCAATAACCTTCTCTGCTTTGTTCTGTGGGGGTGAAGCATAGACTGGCCTTCCTTCAGTTCCTCAAACATGCTCACTCTCCCCTCTGGGCCTTTGCACAAGCTCTCTCCTCTCCCAATGCTACTCTTCCCTTGGTCTTTGCTTAGGGGCTAAAATTGTGGTTGACTTTGGACTAATTAGCCTGACCCACCTGCATCTGAATCTTACTCAGTCTCTAAATGTCAGCTTAGACTTCACTTGCTCCAGAAAACCCTTTACGACCACTTGAAATCTAAGCACCTTGCATTTCCCTCTTATAGCACTTATCACACTGGATTATAAGTGTTCATATCAGACTGGATGGTTCATGTGAGCAGGCACACCAGCCTTGCTGCTCACTGCTGCATCCTCAGGGCATACAGTAGGTGCTCAACAAATATTTCTTGAAAGAATGGAGGAAAGTGCCCTGGCAGCCATCAGATGATCCACTTCGCAGGGCTGGTCCCTCTCCCATAACTTGCAAATAGTCACTTGCCCACAAGCTCGAGTTCCTTTCTCTGATTTTTGAGCATCTTCCCATTTGTGAAAGAAGAAGGCAGGCATTTCTTTTGAAGCTTAATACTATTTGAAGCTTAACACTTTGGGTGGATCTGACCGTATCATTCTTAAATCAAAATGCAAAGTGCTGTATGAATGCCAGGCAGGGGGCAGCATCCACATGGAGATACTGGAGGCTATCAGAAGAAGAAGTGGTTCAGAAAAGTGGAAGGAGAGGGTGACCTCCGGACTTTAAGGTGCTCTGAGACCCTTTCTGTTTGTAGCTGTGTGGATTAACAGAGGCACATTCTTCTCACTTCTCAGACAAGAAATGTCTCCCTCTAAAGCAGGGTTTCTCAACCTCAGCACTATTGTAATTTGAGGCCAGATAATGCTTTGTTGTGAGGGGCTGTCCTGTGCATTGAAGGGTTAGTGGGCTGAATACTGTCCCCTCAAATTCATGTCCACCTAGAACCTCAGAATGTGACCTTGTTTGAATTAAGGATCTTTGCAGATGTAATTAGTCAAGGATGTTGAGATGAAATCATCTTGGATTTAGGGTCGGCCATGAATCTGATGACTAGTGTTCTCATAAGAAAAGGAGATACAAGGAAGATACAAGGAAGAAGGCCATGTGAAGACGGAGGCAGAC